GATGCCATGGAAGAAAAGAATGCTTGTAGAAAACCTATCATTTCCTTGCTTTAAACCTTCCGGTGGTCTACTAACACTTGTCTCCCTAATTTCATCTTGTGCCTCCAGTTATTCTTCTCTTGTCTCCCTGGCTTTCTGTCAGTTTCTAGAACATTCCAGGCTTAATCATCAGCAGGGATTTGGCACTAACTCCTACTCCTCTTATTGAGTTTTCAGGCCCTTGCCAATGCCTAGTACATACCTGGAACCAAGGAAACACTGAGGGAGCAGACATTAGTGGGGCAACTGTGTTTATTCTGGCCTATAGATGTTTGGTGAAGAGGTCAGGCTTGGTGATGGGGATGCAGATAAAGGTGGGGATGGGAGGAATTTTCTAGGTAAAACGAACAAGTGTAGAACAGAGTGAGAAGAAGAGGGGTTGTGGGTGACCCTTAGGTTTCATCTGTCATCCATGGGGCAGAGCTGAAGCACGTGGTTGGGCTCTAGTACTGGGACTTCACTGAAAGGGGCTATCCTAACCTAAACCGAGGAGGAAAACACCAGGTCAAATTCATTTATTTTCATAATCTAAAAATGCCAGATAGCAGCCCGTGGGATTGCTAGAGAGAATTTCACTTACACTTTCAGTCAAGAAGCTGATTATTGAACAATTGTCTCTTTGTGGCTTATCTCCATCTGTGAGAGGGATATTTTCCCAAATTCCTTTCAACCCTTTGCTGGAATTAATGCCTCTTTCACATGCTCACAGTACTAGGTGCTTCTCTCCCATCAAGTCACTGATGTCAGTGTACTGTGCTTGGCAGGTGTAGTCTGTCTTCTCTATTCATCTGTGAGGTCAGCGAGAAAAGGAACCATATCATTAACAGGTGCCTGGCAAGTGCTAGGGTTTGTTGTTGGGTGAGTGAATGAAATGTTCCTTGATCATGAGGAACAGTATGACTGCCTCTTGCCTTACCATGCTCACTCACTCACTCATTTGCTCATTGATTAAACAAATATTCTTTGAGCAACTGTTATGTGTCAAGGCTTCCACTGGTTGTTAAGGCTACAAAGGCAGAAAAAGACTCTTCTCTTCCCTCGAAGTGCTCACTGTCCAGTGGAGGAGACAGATAAGCTAACAGGTTATTGTAATGCAGTGTGGTGAGTGCTAAAAGAAAGAAAGTAAAATGTTCCCTGGGGGTAAAGACAGTTATGGCATTGAAGAGTATGCCAGGTAAAAGAATAGCATGGGCAAAGGTCTCGAGGCAAGACAGTACAGTATCTTTGAACAATTGAAAAAAATGTAGTTTGGCTAGAGTAGAAAATACATCTGAGGGTTGTAGATCTGCTGCCAGCCAGAACTTGCGGCTTTGGAAGTTACACGTTTTGGATCAGACCTCACCCTGGCAAGTGAGACAAGCACCCTGAACACTCTTCCCATAGACTACATCTTCAAAGGGCCCATAGAGTCAATCCTCCTGTCTTTCTGTCCAACAACAGCAACAACGACACACACACACACAACTTACTATAAACAAAGTGAAAAGACAAGCATTGGTATTCAGACTATATTGAGAATTCCTGTAAATCAAGAAGAAAAAGGTAAGCAACCCAATAGAAGAATAGGAAAAAACAAGAAATTCAGAGTAGAAAACACAATGGCCAATAAATAAAAGAAAAAAATGCTCCCCATTGCTAATCAAGGAAATGCAAATGAATTATAAGAGGTCATTTTATACCTATCAGGCTGACAAAAATTAAAAGTTTGACAGTACCAAGTGTTGGCTAGAAGGTGGAACAAAGAGAAGTTTCATTTATTGTTGGGTAGGATGTAAATTGGATTTAGATGCGTGAGAGAGGAGTTTGACAATATCTAGTAAACTTGGCAACATGTATACAATCCATCTATGAACACTTCTTGGTATATATTTCGATATTTTCTTGTACATATGGACAAGGACCATTCATTTTGGCATTGTTTCTAATGGCAAAAAAATGGAAACAATCTAGGTGTCCATTAATAGGAGTATGGAGAGACAAAACAAGGTCTATTCCCTTAATAGTCTTTTATATAGTAGGTAAAAGGAATGATCTAGATCCATATGCAGCAAAATGCCAGGTGAATAAAGCAAGTTGCAGTGTATATACATTTTAAAACAGACCCGAACTAAACTCTGTGCTGTTAATGGATACATATGAGCACACTTAAAGTATGGAAGATATTCTGAAATAATGCACACAAAAATTCATAATGGTTATTGCCTTTGAGGAGTGGCAAGGATGGAGGGATTGAGAGTGTGGGTCTAAGATGATCTGACTTTACTTATAAGGTTTTCTTTCTTTTATATGTGAGGAGTAGTATGTTGATAAATATTTAACAACTGGTCCTCCAGGAATTTAGAAAACACTGATTTATAGCATTGGAGGATTTCTGTGTTGAAATACTCCCAGTATGGCTGATTTTAAGCTACCAATGATTTAGCAACCAGCTGGCAAAACTTTTGAAAATTTAACACACATCAAGAACAAGTATGACCCGGTGGCAGCACAACGTTGTGTGTGTGCATGTGTGTGTTGCATGTGTACAAAAACTTGAAGCATTGATGATAGTATCAACAATCTTCAGTTTTGTATGCTGGAAACATAGGTATTTGGTTATCTTAGTTTCTGAAGTTTTATGTATATATTAGATTTCTTGGAAAAAAGGAGACAATTAAGAATCAGAGTGGGTAAAAATACCTACAGATTAAATTATAACTGGATGTAGTGTAAAGCAGGGCTTTGTTTTGGATGCCCTTCTCTATATCTTCCATTTTAATAACTTAATACTCATTGAATATATTGAATAAACACAGTAAGTCAAACACCTTCCTCTCTGCTGGCTACAAGATTTTATGAAGCAAGAGCAGCCTTTAGAAATAGTTAACTTTTATGACTGAATTAAAAAAAAATACTCAAAAGAAAAAAAAAAACCCAGTTAACTGAAGAGAATGGTTTAAATAATTCCCCAGTATCTCAATACTTTTTTTGACATGCTATTGGAATACGTTTCACCTCATTGATACATCATAAAGGCAATTGCTAGATTGTTTGTACAATCTATTTTTTAATGAGCCTCAAAGTCTTAGAGCAGTGATGATACATTATCCTACTTTATATGTGCCATTACTGCTTTCTGTTACCACAACTAAAAGAGGTTCAACTACTTGTGTGGAAGGAATGGAGCAGTTAAATGTAATAACAGGTTCCCCAGTTTCCCATTTATCTGCTATTTAGTGAGTGCCTAGAATGCATCTAGTTCCTCTGGCTTTGGAAGAGTCCATTGAGGCATACACAATGTGGAAGCTATTCTTTCTTTATTGATTTCATCTTTCCTTTTGACTTCTGGAGGTCAAAATAGGAAAACAGGAATCCAGAGAGAAACACCTCAAAATGCCTCCTTCTCCCATCTTCCCTCAAACATTTAGAAAATATTGTAGAAATAAAATTATAATCAGAAATTAACTTTATAAATAACATATATATATAAGTTATACATATATATATATATATATTGGGGGAGCAGGGTCTCTCACTCTATCACCTAGGCTGGAATGTAGTGGCGTGATCTTGGCTCACTGCGACCTCTGTCTCCCAGGTTCAAGTGATTCTCCTGTCACAGCCTCGAGAGTAGCTGGGATTACAGGCACACGCCACTGTGCCCTGCTAATTTTTTGTATTTTTAGTAGAGACAAGGTTTTGCCATGTTGGCCAGGCTGGTCTCGAAATCCTGACCTCAAGTGATTCACCTGCCTAGGCCTCCCAAAGTGCTGAGATTATAGGCATGAGCCACCACGCCTGGCAAGTTTTATATATCTATACTATAAATGTGTTTATATTAATAAAATATTTCATAAATAAATTATATTTGTAAGATTACAAGTTATATTTCTAAAAATTACACAATTATAAATTAATTTATAGAATAAATTAGAAATTTAGATTTTATAAACAACCCTGGAATAAATTATATATTCATCAAGGAAATTTCTGCTTTGGAATTAGATATAAAGAAAATTATTAGTTGCTATGACAATTATATTCAATAAAAAGTCTTGTTATATTAAATATTTACATAAAATCAAATATTATAAGTAAACCCTGCCCACAGAGAAGTGCTACACATATGATGCATGTTGTGTGTTCTTGACTGTGTGTATCCTACAGCATGCTTTTAATTTTTTTTTTTTTTTTAGAGATGGAGTCTCACTCTGTTGCCCAGGCTGGGGTGCTATGGCATGATCTCTGCTCACTGCAACCTCTGCCTCACGGGTTCAAGCGATTCTCCTGCCTTAGCCTCCTGGGTAACTGGGACTACAGGCATGCACTTTCACGACCAGCCAATTTTTTATATTTTTAATAGAGTTGGGGTTTCACCATGTTGGCCAGGCTGTTCTTGATTCCTGACCTCAGACAATCTGCCTGCCTCAGCCTCCCAAAGTGCTGGGATTACATGTGTGAGCATGCTTTTTAGACAGATGATTTTCCCATAGAACCAGATCATTGTAAACAAAGATTTATTCACATTCCTGACTAATCAAGATTCCAGTCCTCACTTAGCACAAGACACTGAATATGTTGTATTTTCTTATCTTTAATATAGCCTATGCTTTCTTCTCTTCAAATTGTATAGATGAGGGGGAATTCTTTCAAAGGCAATAATTTGAAATCGCTACCACTTATTTTTCATATGTTGTTTTCTTTATTAAAAATACTTTGTGTCTCAGGATAGAAGTTATATTTGTTCTTTGTAGGAAAAAGGAAAGTACATAGAAATAAAAGGGAATTTTTGCTTTTTAAAGGAATTTTCACTTTTTGCATTTTACACTTCTGTCCTCCTTGAATTTAATACTTTGAGCTTCTATTACCGTTGTAATTAAAAACAGTAAAGGGCCTGGTGTGCTTCTGTCCTGCACAGCTGTTCTCTGGAGCAGTAGTTGTTCCAGAGAACAACTCATTTCCACCTCATTTCCCACCTAAGTGCATACCACCACCCCATGGAAGATTTGATGGACATGGACATGAGCCCCCTGAGGCCCAAGAACTCTTTCTTGGTTGTGAACTAAAGGTGGACAAAGATTATCACTTTAAGGCAGATAATTATGAAAATGAACACCAGTTATCTTTAAGAATGGTCAGATTAGGGGCTGGTGCAAAGGGTGTCTTGCACATTTTTGAAGCAGAGCCAATGAATTATGAAGGCAGTCCAATTAAATAACACTGGCAATTTTGAAAATGTCTGTACAGTCAATGGTTTCCACTGGGGGCTTTGAAATAACACCGTCTTATGGTTGAAGTGTGGTTCAGGGCCAGTGCATGTTAATGGACAGCACTTGGTAGCTGTGGAGGAAAATGCAGAGTCAGAAGATGAAGAGGAGGATGTGAAACTCTTAAGTATACCAGTGATCTGTCCCTGGAGGTGGTAGCAAGTTTCCACAGAAAAAGTAAAACTTGCTGCTGCTGAAGAAAATGATGATGAACATGATGATGATGAGTTTGATGATCAGGAAGCTGAATAAAATCACCAATGAAGAGATACAAGATACTCCAGCCGAAAATACACAAAAGTCAAACCAGAATGGAAAAGACCCAAAACTATCAATACCAAGATCAAAAGTACAAGAATCCTTCAAAAAACAGGAAAAATCTCCTAAAACACCAAAAGTATCTAGTTCTGTGGAAGACATTAAAGCAAAAATGCAAGCAAGTACAAAAAAAGGTAGTTCTCTTCCCAAAGTGGAAGCCAAGTTCATCAGTTATATGAGGAATTGTTTCCAGATGACTGACCAGGAGGCTATTCAAGATCTCTGGCAGTGGAGGAAGTCTCTTTAAGAAAACAGTTTAAACAATTTGTTAAAAAATTTCCATCTTATTTCATGTAACAGTTGATATCTGGCTGTCCTTTCCATAATGCAGAGTGAGAACTTTCCCTACTGTGTTTGATAAATGTTGTCCAGGTTCCATTGCCAAGAATGTGTTGTCCAAAATGCCTGTTTAGTTTTCAAAGATGGAACTCAGCCCTTTGGTTGGTTTTAAGTATATATGGAATGTTATGACAGGACATAGTAGTAGTGGTGGTCAGACATGGAAATGGTGGGGAGACAAAAATATTCATGTGAAATAAAACTCAGTATTTTAATAAAGTAAAAACAAAACCAAATAAACAGTAAAGGAGGCTTGGCATGGTGGCTCATGCCTGGAATCTCAGTGCTTTGGCAGGCTGAGACAGGAGGATTGCTTGAAACCAAGAGTTTAAGACCAGCCTGGGCAACATAGCAAGATCTTGTCTCTTAAAAAAATAGCCCGGTATGGTGGCATGTGCCTGTAGTCTCAGCTAGTAGGGAGGTTGAGACTGGAGCATCATGTGAGCCCAGGAGTTCAAGGCTACAGTGAGCAATGATTGCACCACTGTACTCCAGCCTGGGCAACAGAGTGAGACCCCATCGCAAAACAACAACGACAACAACAACAACAACTAGTAAAGAAAAACACATATATTTTATTATTCTTTCACTAGGTAATAAATAATGACCCAAAGATGAGTTAGACTTAGTAACAAAATAAAGTTGAAAAAAATTGTTTCATTGATATAAAAACAACATCAGCAGCAAAAATAATGCACTATTAATACCCGGGAATTAGCATTCTTAACTTTTTTTTTTTTTTTGAGACAAGTCTTGCTCTATCATCATTCTGGAGTGCAATGGCACAATCTCGGCTCACTGCAACCTCCACCTCCCTGGTTCAAGTGATTCTCCTGTCTCAGTCTCCCGAGTAGCTGGGACTACAGGTACATAGCACCACACTCAGCTATTTTTTGTATTTTTAGTAGAGAAGGGGTTTCACCATGTTGGCCGGGATGGTCTCCATCTCCTGACCTCAGGCGATCCACCCACCTCGGCCTCCCAAGGTGCTGGGATTACAGGTGTGAGCTACCGCGCCCAGTTAGCATTCTTAACTTTTAGTGTATTTTCCTTCCAACCATTTAGGTATGCCTAACATATGTATTATATAATATATTCATGGTCTTTAATCTTCACTGTGCATTAAAATCACAAGGGAATGTTTTTAAAAAAATACTAGTGCTAGGATCCCATACCCAGACCATTTTAATCAGAATCTTTGGGCGTGAGATCCAGGCATGGTTACTTTTAGAAGTTCTCTGGGTGATTTTAACATGCAGTTTCAGTTGAATACTACTGTTAATATATCTATATATTGCATCATTTTGAAATTTTTGGTTGCAAGTAACAGAATTACTAATAAAACTGGTTTTTAAAAATAAAAGATTATTTTTTGGTTACCGTTACTTGAAAAGTCTAGAGGCAATGAAGGCTTCTGGCATTGTGTGATCAGGACTCCAGCTAAGTTTCTCTGAAATTCTCTTGACAGGTCTCCTCAATGTGCCAGCTTCCCTGGTGGTTCAAATCTAGAGGGAAAAAGGAACATAAGTTCCTGTGACTCATAGAAGCTTTGAATAAATGTCTTAAGTTTTACTCTGATTGGAACAACATGAACTAAAAACTGTGGCCAGATGACTGCTGTGGGCTCTTGCCTTGGGCTTACTGTTGCCCACCCACGAACTATGACAAGGAGGGAAATCTGAATGCTTTTAGAAAGAGGACAAAGGAAATTGGATATTGGATAGGCAATCAATGAATGTTCACTACATAAATGTTTAGCCACTTTGGATTATACTACATATAGTTTATTATCCTGATTTTTAAATATATGTAATATTATATTTTAATACATTTTGAAACATGATTTTTAATTAGCTACATAATATTGTATCATATGAATGTAATGTCATTTAACCTTTGCCTTTTTTTTTTTTTTTCGAGATGGTGTTTCACTCTCGTTGTCCAGGCTGGAGTACAGTGGCACAGTCTTGGCTCACTAACCTCTGCTTCCTGGGTTCAAGTGATTCTCCTGCCTCAGCCTTCTGAGTAGCTGGGATTACAGGCGCTTGCCACCATGCCTGGCTAATTTTTGTATTTTTAGTAGAGATGGGGTTTCACCATGTTGGCCAGGCTGCTCTGGAACTCCTAAGCTCAAGTGATCCGCCCGCCTTGACCTCCCAAAGTGCTGGGATTACAGGCATGAGTCACTGTGCCCAGGCTCCTTTGCCTTCTTATTTTACATTTTTTTTCTAATGGAACAATCAATGGCCTTAAACTAGTTATGACCATATGATCAAGTTTGCCTGGTACCACTGTTGTGATGGAATAGTTATTAATAATGCCCTATTAACACTCAAAAGTATCCTGGTTTAGAAAATAAATTACTATGGCCATCTTATTTTAAACATAAATATCTGTCCATTTATCTGATAATAACCTTAAGATAGATTCTTGGAAAAAGAATTTCTGGCTCAAAGAACAGAAACATTTTCAGGTTTTTGATACACATTGACACCTTTTTTCCCCTAGAAATTATGTCTATTTAATATTCCAACCAGTAGTGCACAAGTTAGACCGTCTCACAAAATTCTGTTAGCACTGAGTATTTTTTTCCTTCTTTCTCTTTTTTAACATTTGCCAATTTGATAGGAAAAAAGGAAGGTATGTTAATAATTTGGTCAGTAGTTCTTTGATTATTGGTGAGCCTGAATATTATTTCTGGATGCTTAGTGACCATTTGTATATATTAGTTTATGGCTTGTTTATGTCCTTTGCTTATTAGGAGTCCTTTGTATATGAATACTTTGTCTATCATATTTGTTGAAAGATTTTTCTTGTTTATATTTTATTATCTTTTAAAATAACATTACAGACTTTACCTATAATTTTTTTTGGGACAGAGTTGTGTTCTGTTGCCTGGGCTGGAGTGCAGTGATGTGATTTCGGCTCACTGCAATCTCTGCCTCCTGGGTTCAGGCGATTCTCCTGCCTCAGCCTCCAGAGTAGTTGGGATTACAGGTGCATGCCACCACGCCTTTTTTGTATTTTTAGTGCACACAGTGTTTCGCCATATTGGTCAGGCTGGTCTCGAACTCCTGGCCTTAAGTGATCCACCCACCTCAGCCTCCCAAAGTGTTAGGATTATAGACTTTGCCTACAACTTTATCTATAAACACTTTCCTTTGTCATTTTTTTCATTGCCATTATGCTGGAAAAGTTCTTTATCATCCTGAGATCAGATTGATATCCAACTTTACATTTATAATCTACCTTAAATTTTCTTCTAGAATTTCGGTTTCCTTCCTTCCTTCCTTCCTACCTTCCTTCCTTCCTTCCTACCTTCCTTCCTTCCTTCCTTCCTTCCTTCCTTCCTTCCTTCCTTCCTTCCTTCCTTCCTTTTTCTTTCCTTCTTTTTCTTTGTGGAGATGGGAGTCTTACTCTGTCACCCAGGCTGGAGTGCAGTGGCATGATTATAACTCTCTGTAGCATCAGGTGCGAGCCACCATACTTGGCTAATTCTTGAATTTTTCCTAGATACGGGGTCTCACTATGCTGCTTAGGCTGGTCTTGAACTCCTGGGCTCAAGCAATCCTCCTGTCTTGGTCTCCTAAAGTTCTGAGATTATAGGTGTGAGCCCATGGCCTAGAATTTCAGTTTTTTAAAATTAACTTTTGAATACATTTGGAATTTATTTTGGTATAAACTTTGAAGAGATGTTCTCACATTATTTTGTCTTTCCAATAGTTGAATAACTTTTTCAGTATCAATTTGAAATTGCCATATAACTATAACTTAAGGGAATAATTGACACCTTTATGGTTGTCAGCCTTGTGCTTATTATCTAGGCTCTTGTATGTTTTTACATTTGCTCAAGTCTTTTTTCTTTGTATCCTTCAGTTTATCCATGTTATTTTCTTCAAACAGGACTTGCATACTTCTTAGTTAATTTCTAGTGATTTCATATAATATACTGGTAAGGTAAATAGAATCTTCCCCCTACTATATTTTCTCACAGGGAGTTGCTATTGTATAGAAAACCTACTGATTTTATATATTTATTTTGCATACAGCTACTTACTAGTTTTCATGGATTTTCTGTTGATTGATTCTATTGGTGTTTTTAGGAAGACAATTTTTTTTTTTTTGAGATGGAGTCTCACTCTGTCGCCGAGGCTGGAATGCATGCTATCTCAGCTCGCTGCAACCTCCTCCTCCCTGGTTCAAGCAATTCTGCCTCAGCCTCCAGAGTAGCTGGGATTACCAGCTTGAGCCTCTGTGCCAGGCCAGAAGACAAATATTTAATTTGTAAGAATTATAATTGTGTATCCTTTCTAATAGTTATGCTTCAAATTTATTTTTTATATTTTACTAATATACTTTTAGAAAAGTATACCTAATGCTAATTGCAGGGGGGAGTTCTTGTTTTGTCCCCCACTTTAAAGGGAGTGACTCTACTGTTTTACTCTTTTTTTTTTTTCTTTGAGAAGGATTCTTACACTGTCGCCCAGGCTGGAGTGCAGTGGCATGATCTCAGCTCACTGCAACCTCTTCCTCCCAGGTTCAGGCAATTATCCTGCCTCAGCCTCCCGTGAAGCTGGGATTATAGGCGCCCACTACATGCCCGGCTAATTTTTTTGTATTTTTAGTAGTGATGGGGTTTCACTATGTTGGCCAGGCTGGTCTCAAACTCCTGACCTCAGGTGATCTGTCCGCCTCGGCCTACCAAAGTGCTGGGATTACAGGTGTGAGCCACCACGCCCAGCCTTGTTTTACTCTTAAGTAAGATGTTGGCGTTTGGCTTAAGAAATATATTTTTATCTCTATTAAGGAATATCATTCTATTTCAAGTTTAAGAGGTTTTTCATTTCTTTTTTTCAAAATTGAATTTAATCAAATGTATTTTTGCCTTTTATGTTTATAAACACAGTAATTTTCTTCCTTTGCTCTACTGATGTGATGAATAATATAAATAGGTTTCGTTATATTGAACTATCCTTATATTCCTGAAATAAACCGTATTTAGTAATAATATGTTGTTCTTTCTGTATGCTGTTAGATTCATTTTGCTGGCACTTTTAATGAGATTTTTGCACCTATACTCACTAATAAAAATGGTCTAGTGTTTTTGTGGAAAGATCATGGAAATGATCTAGTCCATAACCTAGGGAACTCTGGTGATGGGCTTTCATTATTAGGATTGGTTATTTCTTATGTTCCGTCATCATTCTCCCATTTACTTCTCATTTA